GCGACCACCGATGATGCGCCTCCGCCTCCGCGCGTTCCTCTTTGGGGCCAGCATAGTGGAGGGGGTCGATGCAGAAATGCGCCGTTGCGTAGCGTGACCCCCCGCCCAAACCTGATTGCACCGCCCTCGCTCCACTCCCGCTCCCACCCTGGGCTCTTGACATCGCCCTCCGCCCTCGGCCATGTTAGATAATGGCGCATTCCTGTCTCGTGCGAGGTGGGGGCTCTGAGCATCCCGTTCCAGCGCCTCGGTTTGCAGAAGTGTACAAGTCGCAGGGGGGTGGGGATCGAGCTCGAGATATGCGGCCCAGCACTGACTGATTCGTAACAAGTGCCTCGAGGCGGGTTCCAACCATGCCCAGTTCAGAAGGAAGCAAGAATATCATCGGGGGGTGCGTTGCTTAGGAAAACATGGTTGCAGAGATGTCCTGGGGCCAGTGCTTTGTTCCCGTTTCGACGACCTCGTCAGAAAGCTCAACGTTGCGGTGGACTCCCTTGAGAAAGATCGCAAGAACATGTCAGATGCGTTGTTGTGTTTTCATGGGCGTTCAACTGGGCCTCATCCAAGACCTCCAGATATCTGCGCGAGCGCGCTGCTGGTGAGTTGCCGATTGACCCCAAAAGTTCAAATTCTCTGCAGGTGCGTATTGGAGGATGGTGGGGAATGTGTATTTTTTCGAAGCACCTGATCCGCCCTTCGTGCTGACGCTTCATTCCCGCGTATCCAAGTTGAGCGCACATGAGCACACTTGCTTTCATCACTGGTCAGTCCCTGTCGTTAGAGATGGCAACGTATGAAAATGTAACATGGAGCACAACGATTTTGGGCTACGACTTAGGGGGAGCATCACCTTTGATTGACCATGTAGTCGATTGCATAGGGGACGGATTTCACTTCAAAGCATCTCGGATTAAGGTTTCCAAGCCGGCCTCAATTCCAAAAGAACTTGCGTCAATTGATCCCTTCCAGGACGGCGTCGCCACGGCCGATGCTTCCAGTCGCGCCTTTGGCCGCGCACCTTCGGCTGGGTCGGCGTCGGGGGCGGCTAGCATGCCCCCAACAGGCAAGGCCCCCGAGGGGCCCGGGATGGGCGACCTGTCCTGGAGCGCCCTTGAAGCCGCTGGGCTCTTCTCCGAGATCGCCGATGGCGCCGAAGACGCGATGGCAGATATGTGTGATGCCATGGGCCACGTCATGGGCATGGGGTGCGATTTGCCAGCTCAGCCCGAGCAGGGTCCTGATGGACATGCCGACGATGAAGTCTCAGAGGTTGATGCGGGCGATCGTGATACCGAAGCCTTTGGCGCCGCCATGTCGGGCGGTGGGCCAGCTGCTCCCGTGCCCGATACATCTGAGGCAGTGGCCGCTGCAGAACGGGACGTCTTGTCTGGAAATATCAATTGTCGTTTGAGTCCATGGGCCGATATGCCACTTATCGGTCACCAGAGGGAATGGCCAACCACGAACCCCAGAGAGAAAAAAAAGAAAGAAAAAAAAAAGAAAGAAATAAAAAAAAAGTGCGTCACAAGCACCGAAAGCGCGCGCCCCCTCCAGCGACAGGCAAGCGAGCAACCGATCATGAATTGTGGCCTTGGCTTTTCGACGCTGAATTTTTCCCACCGCCTGACGCGACAGAGTCGCAATTGATCGAACTTGGGGCGAAGCACGTCCAAAAGTTCAGGGAACTGTGGCCTTCCATGCGTGGGGGGGGCTAAGACTGCCGCTTGAGACTTGAGGCTGATGGAACTGAATGCGTCGTCGATCACATCAGCATCATCATCGTGTCTACGCCTCTCTGTTCTATGCCCCCCTTCTCTGCCCTTCAATCCTCCCCCCTCGCACTGCCCGAAGGCCGCTTGCGCTCTTTTGTTCTGTCAAACGTTGCAGCGCTCAGTGGGCGAAGGAGGGGGGGGGGAGGGGCGGCGCGGGGGGCTCGGGGAAGGAATGAGTAGATAGAGCGGCGGCTGCAGCTGAGGAGTAGGATGAGGAGGATGAGCGCACACGAGGGATCACAGAGGAGGAAATAATGAGGTAGGTGATGCTTATATATATATATATATATACATCTATATAAAACGATGGCACATCAACTCATCGCGACCCTTTCGCGACGCGTGAGAGCATCGCAATTCCTACAAGCCAGCCCCAGATATTGCTTCGCAGCCCCGCCACCGTGCATAGGGGCCGACGGGGGGGGGGGAGTGTAGAATGGTGCCTTGCTCTCGGGTCTTTGGGTGGCAACGGGGGGTACTCTGGCCAATGCTCGTCGCATGCCCCCCACCACCGTCTACATTTTTCCTTGTGGGTGAAGAAGTCAGCCGCGTCGGGTTCCACGCGCTCTCTCTGTAAGTGTAGAAGGCAGTCTTGTCGGGTTCTACACATTCCCCTTGTAAGTGTAGAAGTCAGTCTTGTCGGGCTCTACATTTTCTCTTTGTAAGTGTGGAAGGGGGTGGGCGGGCAGAGCGCGCGGGTCGCAGTGCTCGGGCCCTCCTGCCCCTATGGCCCGTGCGACGCCATCTTCTGCGAGGCCCCCCCCCCCCCTTCCCCCCCCCCCCCCCCCCCCCCCCCCCCCACCACGCGCGCGCACGCGCACGCACGCACACACGCACACACCCGCACGCACACGCACACACACACACACACACACACAACACACACACGCACGCCACGCACGCACGCACGCACGCACACACACACACACACACACACACACACACACACACACACACACACACACACACACACACACACACACACACACACACGCACCGCCACCACCGCCGCCAGCGCCACCACCGCTTTGGAGCGAAGCTGGTTCTACAGTCAGCCTTCTCAGACCCATTAGGCTCCCAGTCTGGCCCTGTGGGTGAACATCCCAATGCAGGCACCCTCCTCGCACTTCTAGCCCGCCCCCCATGTTGGCCCCAGCCTTCGGCTGTCGATTTTGGCGCGGTCATTTGTGAGCCCGCAGTGTGTAACTGCAAGTTGTGTTGACCCTGAGGCTTGCAACCTGCACTTCGATCCAATGGAGAACCTGGCAGCGCTGGACCGCGGAGTCGCTGCCTCAGCCGAGTCCGTCGCTACCCCCGTCAAGCAGAAGAGGAAGCGTTGCCAGGTTCCAGAGTCCGGGTGGCTGACGAGCGCGAAGAAATTCAAGCTGGGCCAAGCGTCCGCCGTCAAGGCAGAGCTCGGTGACGGCACTGTCGGCGTTGCTCCTGAGGTGGGCCCGGAATGCAAGGGGGGCCCAGGCCTCGACGATGCCGCGTCGTCGGCATTAGGCTTGACCGACGGGGGCGATTCGAGGCCCAAGGCGCCATGCCCTGGGCGCCGCCGTGTCTCCATGACTTCCACTTGCTTCTTTGGCCCCAACCAGACGGTCCAGTGGGCGCTCCCAGGCGGGCGGGGGCAGCGGCGCAAAGACTGCCACTCGCTGCGGAGGACGTTCTACCGCCAGTCCTACGCGCTCAGCGTCATGATGGAATACATTGAGAGGTGCCCCGGGGACTGGGACATTGCCTTGGTCGCTTGCCTCACCCTCGTCTTCGAGAAGAGGGGCTCAGGTGGGCGCGTCAGTGCAGGGGCGGTGCAGGAGCGCATCAACACCTTGAAGTTATTGAAGCGGCTGCTGGGGGTCAATTTCTCGCCGCACCAGGTCATTGAGCTTGCTGAGTACGTCAAGGAGAGGGCCGATGCCGCGGTCGACCCAAAGGACCTTGTAACCATCAAGTTCATGAATGCGGACCCGACCATTGGCGTGCAAGTACCTCTCGGGGGCGTGCAACTCGGGGGTCCCGTGGTTCGCCGAGTGCCCGAAGGTGCCGTTCAGCTTCTCGGAGGGAGAGCAAGCCTGCGCTGCTCGGAGTCGGACGTGGCCTTGATGGCCAGGGTGTTCGGCGAAGGCACAGTACAAGTCAATTGGGGGCTCGGCAAGCGTCGTGCCTGCCGCGCCCAGGGACCAGGACGTGCCCGAGATCGTGAAGTCGACGCTCTGCAACAAGACCGAAGCCCAAGCTGGCCCTGCTCGGGCAGCCGTGGGCGTTCTGCGCAGCGTCGGGTGGGGGGATGTGAAGGAGTCCGCCTTCACTCAGCACGTCAACAAGTTGTCCGCCCTTAAGACCGAGGCGGAGTCGACGGGGGACAAGGCGGCCTTGGTCGTTGCCGCCAAGTGGGCCGACGGCATCTCCAAGATCAAGATCTTCTTGAAGCGCCACCGCGATTACGTGAAAACGAATCGCAAGCACTTCAAGCTGATCGGCCTCAGCGAGCATCTGCACTGCGCGATGGTCTTCCTGAGCAGGGCCCTTGGCCTAACCCAAAATGACAACAGCCTGTCGGCAACTCCGACGTCCTGAAACCCCACATCCCTACCAGTGTAGCTGTCGGTGTGCCATGGTTTGTTTCTGAAGTGGCGAAGGGCTTAGTGTCGCGCGCATTGCACAGCAATTGCATGCCATCGGTCCGAATAGTAGGGGCCCCGTTTCAACATTCTTGGTTATCATATCCCCCCCCCCCCCACCCCCTGTCACATCAGCGCGATTCTATCTTATGCGGGGGAGGGGGGGGGGGGCTGCTGAGAGCGCTGGGGCACGAAGTCCACGCGTGGACTCCTTGGAAAACGGGAGAGGGAACGAAAGCAGGACGAATTGGGGGGGGGGGCAGGGGGTAGAGGGGGGGGGTGAGGAGGAGGAGGGGGGGGAGGAGGAGAGAGGAGGGAGGAGGAGGAGGGGAGGAGGAGGAGGAGGAGGGGGCAACTCTGCCTCTTCCTATCCTGCCGCATCGTTTGGATCAATCCGATTGGTCAGACCTCGCCAGGCCCGTCTTATCGTGTCAAACTGGCCCTGGATCATTTGAATTTTGTTTTTTGTTTTTTTCTGGGGGAACGATCGCGATCGCGACGGGGTACTGTTGACTGCAACTCAGGCGGCGTCCAGCCGAAGGTCGTGCCGGCGGCTTCGCTAGCCATGCTGTGGCACCAGACCAGGTTCTTCACGTTCGCTTAGGTCCAAGGGGAGCCTGTCAACGTTGCAATCAACGTGCTGGTGCAAGGGGGCCTCGCCGACACGTTCAGTAGAATCACATCGAGTTCTAAGATTTCAACGGTTGGCTGGTTCCGATCGATGGCCTTGACGAGCGCGGCTGCTAAACTTACCGCTGCTGACTCCAAGCCCAACCAGGAGCAGGCCATCAACGAGTTCACGGATGACGTATACAAGACGATTGAAATCATCCACCCTGCCTTCATAGCCCACGCGGGCGATTGCAATGACTCCATGGCCCATTTCGCGAGCATCCTGGTCGCCAGCCGAGGTTGCGACAGGGTCACCTCCAGCGAGATCGGCCAGGCCATCGACTACATTGAGAATCAGAAGCACACGGTGAAGATCAAGGACGCTTTCCACTTCACAACCGCCGGGTCGGCTGCCACGGCATCGTGCCAACACCAGCTGGCAGTGACTGCCAAGGACGACCTTGGCGACAAGAAGATCGATCGGGCCCTCGAGATCTTGAACGACTTCGCCTCGTTCCCAACGTTGCTTCGCTCCCTGGAGGAGCTCCCATCCGAACCTACGATGCTCGAGGTGGGGAATTTCATCGTCGCCAAGACTGGCGAAGCCTTCTCCGCGATCGACGAGTCCACCGACCACTTGTTCGAGGCCACGAAGCTATGGGACAAGAGGCGCTGCGAAGAGCAGGCGCCGAAAGTCGCCGAGTACATGGACGCAGCGATCTTCGCCCTGTCGGATATCGACTGCATCGCCGCGGCGTTCCTCTCAGCCGTTTTTGCCAAGGGCGGCCTTGATGTGTTGCTGCGAGCGGTCGGTGTTCAATCGCTGCCAGCAGGTATCATCCTTCCGGACTACGAGAAGATGTCCCAGACCGTGCAGAAATATTCTCTCAACAACCATGGCTTGCAAATCACCTGCGAACGCCTGATGAAGATTGTGGGCCAGTTTCCGCACGGTTCGGAGGAAGCCCCCGCGACGAATGCGAATACTTACCTCGGCCACATCACGTCCATCGTCAAGAACGTCCAGAGCCGCAGCAACATCAAGGATATGGTCGAGCGCATGGGCGCCGCGCGGGCGTTGAGAGAGAGCGGCCCTGCCTTGGACGAGTGGCTGCTCAAGCAGCTGACAGGGGATGAAAACTCAACATTCTTGCAGTCGGCCTTGGAAGTTGCGAACGCCTCGGACTCCATCGAAAACTCCTCCATGCGCAAGATCTGGCCCGACGGATCGCCGAGTGCGCTTTGCGTCGCGAAGTTCCCAGATCAGCCCGACTTCGAGGACATCTCTGCCAGCCTCCAACTTGCATTCGGATTGCCGCGGATGGTCAAGAGCTTACCGCTGGCATCCCATATGAGTGCTGTATTGGGTGGCGCTTTGGAGACCTCAGTTGACAAGTTCATGGGCGCCGTTCGCATCAGCGACACCACCGTGGAAGTAGCCTTTGGCTCGACTCCCGACTGGTGGAAAGATATCGGTTCCTTCTGCTCGCCCTCGTTCCTCCAGTACGCCTCGGAGACCGTTGGGAATGCCGCTGCTTCTGATGAGTACCGCTGGGAATGCGACGGGGCCAGGACGGCATTGCGCAACATCTCCGAGGTGATTGACGTTCCGAAGATCAAGTACCAGTACCAGCGCGACGGGGCCGATCCACCCTTGGTCCAAATGCTGGCCAAGCAATATCTTCCAAACCCAAGGCGTGATTCAGGACATGAGCCAGAAGGAGTGTTCAGAATTAGATCCATGGGTCCAGGGAACTAGATCCAGGGGTCCAGGGATGAAAAACATGCGCGTGTCAATCGCACGCCCACCCTAAACCGATAACAGATCCAGGGAAGCAGCGCACGCCGACGTTTGGAGACATGTTGCTTCACCAGCCTTGGCATCGGTTTCTTGGGGCAACGACCCTCAGATGGCCGTCCGCCTCGCGGAGATCTGGTGCGATGTTCACAAGGTCACTGCTGGCCTCGGGCACCTCTCCCGGCGCTACCTCCACCGCCGAGGTGGTGCCAACTTCGCTACCACAGTCTTCGAAGAGAACGGGTTCAAGAAAGATATCACTTCCTGCATCGAATTCTGCCGCGAATACATCACAGGCGGCACTGGGAGGATGAATGCTCTGGAGGACCACCGCGGCGCGGACATCGGCTCGGCGCGTCCGCGCACGTCCATTTTGCTGAACTACTTCCACGGGCCCAACTGTGCCACCGACGCTACTTGCAAGGCTCTCTTTGACAGCCTTTTGGATTCAACGGTAGCGGAAGGCAAGGAGCTCCAGAAGGCCACCCCGATGATTGACGACACCGTCAACGATACCAGGTTTAACAGAAACATGGCTCGTACCCACCTCCACAATCACCAGAGCAAGGATGCCTTCGGCGAGAAGCCAGTCAAGGTGCACCGCATGCTCAGCGCCGTTGGCTACTGGCACAGGGCGTGGGGGATCCAGCCTCCGATGCAGGATGAAGTAACCACGAAAGAGAGCATCGATCTG